CTGAGATTGGGGTGTGTGTGTGTGTGTATGAGTGTGTGTGTATGTGTGTGTGTGTGTGTGAGAGAGAGAGAGAGAGAGAGAGAGAGAGTGAGAGAGAGAGAGAGAGAGAGAGAGAGAGAGAGAGAGAGAGAGATTCATTCTATACTCTAGAGAACCTTGTGCAATACACTGATCAAAGAGAGCCAAAATGTGGAGCACTGTGAGTCTAGCCTCGAGCCTCCAGTTCAGGACCTGGAGCTTAGACACTAGCTAGAGCTGTTTGTGTCTGTGTGTGATAAATCTACCACACATGCACAGATGCACACATACAACAATGTCATGGCAGCCTCAGAGCTTTGCTGAGAGTTGGTACAGGCTGAGGAGATATGGATGAAAGACTGAGAATACATATCTAAATGTATGATGTATTTCAACCCTGGAAAACTAGGAGGAGGGCAGGAGGTGAGCATCTGTAATCTCAGGACTGAGGGCGTGCAGCCAGGAAGATAGTGAATTCAAGGTTGGTGTGGCCTATAAGGAGACCTTGCCTCAAAACAAAACAAGACAAAAAAGTGAAGGACACATAACATTTCCTGCCGCTATTTCTAGTATCATACATAATGTGGAAGGCCTTGCTTTATGCATTTTTTTGTGGTCTTCTAATTTCTATAGTGAACATGTGGGTTTTTTTTTCTTTCATGTACAATAAAGAAATATTTTTATTGTTCTAAAAGAAGAAAATAAAGGCTTAAGATCAAGGAACAGCTATCCAAGATAAATCCCTCTGAGAAGAGAAAATCAGTAGACAGGAGGCTCAAGAAGGAAGCTGAGGATGGAGAAGGTGAAGAAAACATTAAAATCAACCTGAGAGACTATCCAGGGTTGGAACTAAAGACTGTTCTGGGATGATACGCACAGGCGCTTTGAAAGTAAGAGGTGAATTAGTGAGCCTGTGGTTGTGTTGTGTCCACCTCTGTTATGATTAGTATATGCTCGGCCCAGAGAGTGGCACTACTAGGAAATGTGGCCTTGTTGGAATAGGTGTGCCCTTGTTGACATAGGCATGTCACTGTGGGTGTGGGCTTTAAGACCCTCATTGTAGCTGCCTGGAAGTGAATATTCTGCTAGCAGCCTTCAGATGAAGATGTAGAACACTCAACTCTGCCTGCACCATTTCTGCCTGGATGTTGCCGTGTTCCTACCTTTATGATAATGGACTGAACCTCTGAATCTGTAAGCCAGCCCCAAATACATGTTCTTCTTGAAAGACTTACCTTGGTCATGGTGTCTGTTCACAGCAGGAAAACCCTAACTAAGATAACGTCTGTGTCCAGTTGTGGTCCATGTAATAAAAACAACGTGCCTAAGTTATTAACTGAATGCATGGCCACTCCAGAACGGGGTCTAGGAAGAATGGGAGAGAAAAACAGTCATCCCTACAGGTCCCATCTTGAAAGGACATCTCCGAAGCTAGGAAGGAAGCACTGTGACCCAGGGCCAGTTATAGAAGCACATGGCTCAGAGCAATGGCTCTCACCCTAGGGAGACACAGCCATGAGCAGTGGCACCCCAAAGGCAGTCTCTGTGTAGCATGGAGGACACTTATCAGAGACCCCAGTGTGAGAGTTGTGGCTCAAGCCTTCTTTTCCTAGTAACTGCAGTACAATTCAAATACAACCAGAATCCCATCTTCAAGGAGTGTGAGCAATGTGCTTGACAAAAGAGAATCACTCATTGACAGAGTGGCCAGGCTTCCTTCTCCTCCCATGCATAAGAAAAGTCTGACTTCTCCACCACCACCACCATCACCACCATCATCACCACCACCATCACCACCACCACCATCACCACCACCATCACCACCATCATCACCACCACCACCACCATCATCACCACCACCATCACTGCTACCGCCACCACCACCAGCCACAGAGCTATTTTGTCAAAATAAGCCTTTGGAGATCTTGTGATACAGAACAAAGGGGCTGGTAAGTAAGGTTAGGGACCAGTCTCAAAAGACAAATGTCATGTCATATGTTTTCTCTTGTGTGAGGAATCTAGGTTTAAAATGTATATAAGAAGTAGAGGGTAAAGGCCCCTACCTGAGTCCCAGAATGGTATGAGGTTCACGAATCTTTGCAGAAGGCCAAAAGATTCTAAGAGCCAGAAGTGGTAGATAACTCCAAGGGACTATTATCTACCAGAAACAACAGGACTGGTACATTATGAACTCACAGAGATTGTAACAGCAGACATAAGATCAAACCAGACAAAACCCTGTACAGGGAGGGGGAAGTAGACCCTATGTCCCACCACTAACCAAGAAGCTATTTACAGCTGATACCTGCTGTGAAAGGGAAATCCTCTCCAATGAAGAATCACTAGCTATAGCAATTTTACTCTAGGCCAGGCCCATGCCCAGGAATAGTTCACCAACATAAAAGAGCCTCCATGGGTTGTTGGAGGTGTTTGTTTGTTTGTTTGTTTGTTTGTTGTGTGTGTCCAAGTTCATGATGTACTTGCATTAAAACACTATGATGACATCCATGATTTAATACAAGAAATATACACTAATAAAAAAGAAATGACAAAAATCAAAACTAATATTATAACTATAGTATATAAAAGGTGTTCTGAGGCCAGTCTTGGCGAAACATATCTGTCATTCTAGCCTTTGGCTGGGAAGAGGCAAGAGGGTCATAAATTAGTGGTCACCCTGGACTATATAGCAAGGTCCTGCTGCAAACACACACACCAATAAGGAGGCATTGTAGTCTTGTAGGAACTTGTAGGACATTAACCTGAGTCCAATAATACCACAATAAATGACTTCTCTCTAATATTCTGTGTATGTTCATTAAAATAAGGGTTGTTAGCCTTTATTGTTTCCCTCAAGGGATTTTATGAACCAGAAATGTCCCTGAAGCCTTTATCCCTAAAATCTGCTCAAATTTCTCTGACGGTACAAACATTAAAAATACATGTAAAAATACCAGGGGCATCTTAACATCATACAGTCCCCTGACCACCCTTGATAGATGTCACTAGTCAATCTGTTCATTCTTTATGCTAAACCAGGCATGATCCATAAACATTTTTGTTATGATCCAAGAAGTCTCTCTCAATGGATCACATCTAGCTAGTGAAATGGGTCTGTTTTCCCCTCCTACTCTGTGAGGAGATTAAGGTTGAAGGGTTAGGCCGGGCGGTGGTGGCGCACGCCTTTAATCCCAGCACTTGGGAGGCAGAGGCAGGCAGATTTCTGAGTTCTGAGTTCGAGGCCAGCCTGGTCTACAGAGTGAGTTCCAGGACAGCCAGGGCTACACAGAGAAACCCTGTCTCGAAAAACCAAAAAAACAAAAAGGTTGAAGGGTTAATTTGGAGATGAGTATCCAAAGGTCCCACCCAAAGGACCTGAGGCATATTAGAGTTGGTAGTGCAGAGATAAACTGGCAGCAGACAGGCCTTCTACAAGTGATGTAGATACAACAGATACACACAGGAGAGTACAAGATAAAAACCCTACCCAACCCCAAGACCCTCCCAGCACTGAAGGCTGCCACTGAAACAAGGGTATTTCTCTTCTCAATTTGAGGGATCCCACACTCCACGTAACTGTAGAACGTCACATATCCTCAGTTAGATTACAGATCCAGCTTTCTCCCTCCTGATAAGAACCAAATCAGCTAGAACCTGAGATTCCTGAAGTGCCTCCCCATGTTAATGAGGTATCTCAGTACCTTAGCTTTCACCCAATGACCTTTGCCCACCCTGGATACTCCTATTCCTTAACCCAAAAACTATACAATCCTTGAATCACCCTGACTAAAGCTGATCTGCGTCCCCGAAGCTGGTCCTGGCATGTCATCATTACAGTTTGTACTCCTGGGGCTTCTGAACACATACCCCCGCCATTTGCCCTGGGTGGACTGATATTGGCTGATGATATCTGGGGGCAGGGAGCACCGCTGTGGTACACACATTTAATCCCAGCAGAGGCAGGCAGATCTCTGTGAGTTCGAGGCCAGCCTGGTCTACAGAGTGAGTTTCCGGGACAGCCAGGCTACACAGAGAAACCCCCTCTCAAAAGACCAAGAAAAAAATAAAAGAAATTTAAATTTAAGAAATGAAATTTGAACTTACAGACAGGTTTACCTCATGCCTCACCTGTCAGGTATCTCACTAATTGCTGCAATCTAGAGATGAGGCTTAGTTTTCTTTAGGGGGTTAAAGGCCAGGTAAAGGTGCAGCCTAAAGTCAAGTTACCTGGAGGAACAGAGAGTTCACTTAATTTAGGCTCCTCTTGGTAGGGTTAAAAACAGTCTACACTGTTTTAATACTCTTCCTGTCTTCTTTTACCTTGATAAACTAAGTTAAATGAGGAAGCTGGGGAGCTGGAGAGAAGGCTCGGTGCTTAAGAACACTTGCAGAGGACTTGCAAGGTTTGGTTCCCAGCATCCACATGGTGGCTCATAATCTTCCCTAACTCCAGTTCCAGGAAATCTAATGCCGTCTTCTGAACTCTTTTGGCATCAGACACAAATGAGGTACATGTCCATATATGCAGGCAAAATACTCATGCACACAAAATAAATCAACCTTAAAACAGAACAGAAGAAAAACAATAAACAAGGAACTGGAGAAATGGCTCAGTAGTTAAGAGTTCCTGCTGCTCTTGAAGGTGACAAGAGTTCACACACTCACATCCGGTTGCTCACAACCGCCTGTGAATCCAGATCCAGGAGATCTGACACCTCTTCTGGCCTTTGCAGGCACCTGTATTCACATGCATATAATTTAAATGAAAAAATAAACATAAAAAGCTCAACCAAAAATAGAAAAAAGAAATTAAGTTGGTCTTACCTTATTTTTTAATTAGATTATAATAAGCACAACCATGTGTTAAATCTTTGAAACTCTCAGATATGTATGTGAGGGAAGATACTAGTTACCTTTCTCCTTGCTGTGACCACAATACCTGACAGAGCAAGTCAAAGTAGGGACATTTTGTTTTGACTCACCATTTCAGCTCAGCCTAGTGGAGCCAGCATGATGGAATTCCTGGTGATAGAAACATGTGGCAGAGAAAGGAGCTCCTCACATCCTGGTGGGATCAGGAAGCAGAAAGTTCAGAGAAACTCAAAGGCAGATGAAACCCTCAAGGCCCAGACCCAGTGACTTACTTCTGCTAGCTAGACCATATATGTCCCAAAGGCTCTATAACATCTTATTCTCTGTTTTATTGCTGTGAAGAGACACCATGACCATGGCAACTCTTATAAAGGAAAGAATTTGATTGGGGCTGGTTTACAGGTTCAGAGGGTTAGCTTATTATCATCATGGTGGGAAGCAGACAGATATGGCTGGAATAATAGCTGAGAGCTGTACATCCTGATCTGTAAGCAGCAGGCAGAGAGAGAGACTGGGTCTGGCATGGGCTTTTGAAACCTCAAAGCCCACTCTCGGCTTCATACCTGCTCCATCAAGGTCATTCCTCCTAATTCTTCCCAAACTGATCTACTACTAACTAGAGACCAAGTATTCAAATACATGAGCTCATAGTTCACATTCAAACCGTAACCAACAGACACAACATTTGGAACAAAAAAGCCATAACAATATTATAATATCCCCCATCTTCATGCACAACATTTTACAGCACAAACATAAATACAATTTTATACAAGGTAAAAGAATTGCTCATTTACTTATAAACCCTTTAACATTCAAATTCTTTATTGTAAAGACTTTCAAGTCATAACCTCTTCTGGCTTTAACATCTATAGTTAACATCTCTGGTTCTCCAAATAATATGCAGACATCTTTTTCTTCAATTTCCCAAGATCCCAGAGTATTTGCAAGGCTGCCATATGCTCTTCACAGCCAACTTGTATCAAGTTTATTCTTACATTACCAGGTGCTATGACCTCCATCAAAAACACTGACTAGAAAAAAATGTAGACAAGCAGAGAGAGGCGGGGGCTAGCAGTGAGTGCTCTTGAGACAAAGCATGTTTAATAAGTTGATGGGTCATTATTTTCTTTTTTTTTTTAAGATTTATTTATTATATATGAATACACTGTAGCTGTCTTCAGACACACCAGAAGAGGGCATCAGATCTCATTACAGATGGTTGTGAGCCACCATGTGGTTGCTGGGATTTGAACTCAGGACCTCTGGAAGTGCAGTCAGTGCTCTTAACCACTGAGCCATCTCTCCAGCCCGGGTCATTATTTTCATGTGATAATAAATTTTGTTTTCCCCATGAAACCATGTAATTGTTGTGGTTGAGGTAAAGAACATCTACATTTTGAGGTTTCTGAATTAAGCAAACCTCTTCCTGGGTCACAAACTACTGAAAAGCAGACACCTGGCCCAACTAAACATAGTTACACACACACCATAAATAACCTCTGCCCTTTATTTCTGGTCTTGAAAGCCAGCCACTTCACCCAGCTAGGATGTGACTCAGTGCTAGGACACTCATGGAGCATGTATGAGGCCATAAGTACAATATCCAGGACTGAAATTTTAAAAGAAACAGAAACTGAGCCCAGGAACTTACATAAGCACAGCCTCTGAGCTATACTCCAAATATCATCCCCAAATTTACTTTTAATTTTTTATCAGTTAAACAATTTGTACATATTTTCTTTTGGAGGAAGGGAGGTGCTGAGACAGTTTCTGTGTAGAGAAGGTTAGCTTCGAATTTGCTCTGTAGCCAAAAATAGTATGGAACTCACAATTCTCCTGCCTCAGACTCCCAAGTACAGTTTGTACAACCAAGCCTCACTAAATATCTCTTACACACACACACACACACACACACACACACACACACACACACACACGTGGCAAGGGGTGCGATTGTAGTTTAGGTTTATCTTGAACTCCCTATCCTCCTGCCTCAGCTTCCCAAAGACTGGAGTTACAGGCATGTACACCACAGCTATTGAAAATTGGGGGGGGTTTCTGTTAAATATTTTATGTAAAATCATGTGCTTCTTTGTGACATACATGTATCATTGTACTTTGCTGGTGTTAACGCCTGTAATCATCCTCCTTTGTTACACGGAGTGGGTTGGTCTGCTGTTGCTTGTATGCAAATGCTAAACTCTGTTTCCTGAGCTCTTAGTTGCCTCATGATAAGGGAATTCTCACATAGACCAGATTTTGTGCAAACCTGGCTCCTTAATTTAAAACCATTAATTGAACAAAGATGCCTATAGCCTGTAGCTGGGCAGAAGAGAGGTAGACGGGGCTTTGGTTCCCAGGCTTGGGGACTGAGGCAGAGAGAGACAAGAAAGAGAGAGGAATAGAAAGGAAGAAGTTGCCATGGACTAGGTGGATCCTGAGCACATGGCCAGGAGTGGCCCAAAGGGAGCATGGCAAGTGATAGCTCAGGGTTACTGACGGAGAGGTAGACAAAATAGCACAGAGGGTTGGTATCTGCCCAGCTTTAAGGCTCATTATAAATATAAAAATCATGTGTGTTTTATATGGGCTAGCAAGAATAATTCATTCCTTTTACAGTCCTGTCTCCCCTTCCACCAGGCATCGTCCCTTCTGCTTTCATGGCATATATATTTATGTGTCTGTGTTCCATATATGACAGAAAATAGGCAATAAGTTCTGAGGTTTAAAGGCAAATATTTAAAAATTCTAGTGTGTGTGTGTGTGTGCGTGTGTTATATGCATACGTGCACACATAGGTGTAGGCTCACTTGCCCATGAGGGTCCATGTGGAGGTCAAAGGTTGACTTAATGATTTCTTTCCTCCAACACTTCGCCACCTAATTTATTTTTTGAAGCAGGCCTAAAGCTCACCCTGTTGGCTAAACTGGCTGTCCATCAGCCTCTGACACCTGCTCCTCTTCATGCCTGAGTGCTGAGATCACAACACATGCCAACACAGGAGGTGTTTGAGCTCAGATCCCCTGCTCTACAACAAGGATTCTACCGAGAGCCATCTCTGCATCCTCACATGGTTTTAAAAATCTTTGTGCCATTTGTGTGTTTATTTTGTGTGTGGAGGGCAGTATGCTATAATGTGCATGTGGCAGTCAGAACATAACCATGTGGGTCATGGGATAAAAGCCAAGTCCTCGGGCTTGCCAACAAGTGACTTTACCTGCTAAGCCATTTTGCCAGCCTCCTTTTCTTTCTTTCTTTCTCTCTTTCTTTCTCTCTCTCTTTCTTTCTTTCTTTCTTCTTCTTTTTCTTTTCCTTTTTTTTTTTTTTTTTTTGTGACAGGGTCTCTTCACTGGCCTGGAGCTCATCAAATAGGCCAGACTGTCTGGTCAGCAAGCCTGGGAATCCACCTGTCTTTGTCTCCCCAGTGCTGGGATTACAAACACAAGCTACAACGTTCAACTTTGTTGTGTGAGTTCTGGGGATGGGACACAGGTCCTCACACTTGTATGATAAGCACTTTACCTACTCAGCTATCTCAATAGCTTTGAAAGCTCAGTTTTTTTTTTTTTAATGCATAAAAGCTGGGCACGGTGGCACTCGCCTTTTATCCCAGTACTGGGCAGGTGGATCTCTGAGCTCAAGACCAGCCTGGTTTGCAGAGTTCCAGGACAGCCAGGACTACACAGAGAAACCGTGTCTCAAAAAAATGAAAACTGTAAAGAAATGTGTCACTCTCAAGGTTTAGTGGATAAGTCAAATCATTTTGATCCCCAGGGTCTCAAGGAATAGAAGGAAGCACTGACCAATGTCAACATTCATGAAGAATTTCCCACGTCCGGGGCACTTCTAAAAAGCAGATGCATCCTCTATCTGGCAAAATGTCACCATCACCTCAAACACAAAGAGAATCTTCCCCTTGAAAAATCTTATTTTTAATACACATTAGTATCACAAAAAAAAGGTCAATGAGTTTGAAATACTTTGTCTTCTTGAGAAACAAGTAAGTCATCTTTCGGAATGTGTCCTGCTTTTAAAGAGGACAATAGTCATGTTCCCAGAATCCAGACAGGCCAGCTCACAACCTTCTGGAGATCTGATGCTTTAGGTCTACTCTGGCACCTGTATTCACATGCACACATGCATGTGTGCGCGTGCACACACACACACACACACACACTAAAAAGTTAACAATAAATCCAGTTGTGTATGTGCATATGAGCTCAGTGCCCACAGAGGCCAGAGGCACTGGATACCCTGGAGCTAGTTACAGGCACTTGTGAGCTGCACCTGAGGAGGGAGCTGAGACTCAAACCGGGTCCTCTGGAAAGAAGAGGAAATGCTCTTAACCACTGACCATCTCTCCAACCCTAAAAAAGAAATATCTTTAAAGAAAATCTATTCTTTTACCACAAAATAACCATTAAAATGTCATATTAGATGAAAGGGGTTTGTATGGTCAGTCTCTTTCTTTTTACCAAATATTAGGACAATTCTACTTAAAGTCTTTGCCCTTGTAAAATGAACATATCCTGCATCTGTTTGTCTCCTCTTGATTTTCTCACCTGTACCAGCTTTTATGAACAACAGATAATAGGTTTTACATCTGAATCAACATTCTACTCCAGAGCTGGTCTCTATTCCTGTCACAGTGACTGCTGCACACATGGCTGCTCATAGGCATAAAACATTATTTTTTAAAGAGTTAATTTTTTTGATGACCAAGACTTTGAGCTGAGTATCTAGTGTACATGATCCACTCTTCTGGCCAGCACAGGCGCCATGAACCTTGGATGTCAGTTTCACTGGGACATTTGCCAGCATCTGACAGGATGTGAGTGAGTGTGTGTCCACTGTCAGGGATGCAGGGACCATAAAGTGCACCAAAAGAAAAAGACTATTTTATTAACAATGGAGGAATCAGTCATAATAACAAGAAAGTGACCAGCAAAAAAGCAGGTAAGAGGAAAATGATCACCCAGAGGACAGTTAAATCCCTTCTCCTGCTCAGGGACCCTTTACAGAAAATGTCCTGTAATCACACTGAAAAGCTTGAAAATAGGTTATTTAGCTTTTCAGTCTCACAGCCTAATGCAAGTAGATGGACTTTATCTTTTCTTTTTTAAGAATCTTTTTTCTGTAACTTGGTCTCAAAGAATGGCACAGCAGTGAGCTGGATGCCCCAAGAATAGTTAT